CACCATCACCGTCACCACCACCACTACCACCACCATCACCACCACCACCATCACCGTCACCACCACCATCACCACCATCACCACCACCACCACCACCATCACCACTATCACCACTCCCACTACCATCACCGCCATCACCACGACCATCCCCACCACCACCACCACCATCATTATAGCCACCACCACCACCACCACCACCATCACCAGCATCACCACCACCACCACCACCCATCACCATCCCCACCACCCATGCCATTCATCATGTCACCACCGGATCGTCTCCACCATGATTTCACCACCTCCACCGCACCCATACTTGTGACCACCATCCTCACCACTGCCATCTCAGTCTCCTGCTGTCTCAAAAGCACGGGCAGGCCAGGTGCAGCCTTTGCACAACAGCATGGCTGTCGCTCGCCCAGGCCCATGGGAGCACGCACAGAGCCAAAGAGGACACTGAGCTGATAGCTGCCCTCCCTGGCCGCTCCCTGAGCTGCTCTCCGTTTGATCCTCCCACACAGCCTCTGTCGGGCCTCAGAGGACCTGGCGAAATGCAGGGATTGCTGGGACTGTGGGCTGTGCACGGCTGGCAGGACTGGAGGTGCTTCCCCCCCTGTGGCAGGCTGGCGTGGCTGTCTTAGAGGAGGAGGAGGGAAACTCTCCCGGAGTCTACACCAGGTGCCATGGGCTGGGCCAGGGGTTGGGGAGGCTGCTGGCCAGAGCTGCCGACGGACACTGCAGCTTTGAGAAAGGCACTGGGGCGGCTGTTCCTGGCAGTGACATTGGGTTGGCACGGGAAGTGCTTAGCAGACGGGTTCTGAGCCCGTGGGCGAAAGGTGCGCGACGGGGCTGTGGCACTCCTGGTGGGCTCCGCGCTTCCTGAATGTGCTCCTCCTGTGGGCTGTCCCCACGAGTCCTCATGGCCGGTGACAGTAGCCCCAGATGAGGGGAAGGGGAGACAGCCAGCTTTCTGGCTGTGCCCACTTTCAATGAGCGTGAGCAATTTCCCCCAAGAGGGTCGTGTTCAGCAGAGAGGCAGCATCTGTCTCTGGGAGGCTGCCAGGAAAATCTTGACACTGCCGTCTGCCACAGCGAAGACACACATGTGCTGCCTCCCCAAAGCCACCGGGTCAGACAGGAGCGTCTCAGCGAAGTGGGCTCTAGTATGGGTGCTGGGGGCAAGCAGGATGGGCGGCCTCAAGCCTCAGGCGTGTGGCAGCCCAGCAGCTGGGGCGGGTGGGTGCTGTCCTGGGCAGGCGCTGGAAGCCCCAGGCCTTTGGCCCCGCAGGTGAAGCTGTCGCCAAGAGCAGACAGCTAGGCAGGTGGACCTTCCAGGCGGCTCTGGCTGGCCACAGGAGCCAGCCGGGGTGTATGCAGGGCCACAGCCCCAGAGGTATGTGGCAGATGTGATCAGGAAGGACTATGGCTGTGACAGGGACCTCAGGAGGGAGTGAGAAGGCGTCCATCCTCTGCCATCTGCCTCATGAGCAGCAGACAGCTCTCCGGGGCCTGTGACTGTCCTGCTGCTGCAGCAGCCTGTCCTTCTGTCCCTGTCCTTCCGGTTTCGCCTGCCTGCCCACTTCCTTCTGCTGCCTGGCAAGGGCACAGGGCAGCAAGGCCAGTCCATGGATGCTCTTTGGGAAGTCCTCTCTCTCCCCCGGGCTCTGTCAGGCAGTGGGTAACCCCGGGAGGGCTCTGGAAAGGGGCTGCCTCCTCCCAGCGACCTGAGGCCCTGAGGGCTGCACGTCTGCGGATCGCCTTCCCTGAAGCCCTGGGCCCTGGGGTCCTCAGGTTTGCCAAACTCTGCCGTGCTCTCGGGCCTGCTCCCCACCCCCGCTCGTGGCTCCAGTGTCGGGAGCAGAATCCGAGCAGGCGTGACAGGCAGGAGGGGCAGGTCTTAGCAGCGCTCAGGGGCCAGGCAGAGGCAGCAGGCGAAGGCTCAGCAGGGCGCGAAGGGCGCTGCTGCCACGGGCCGTGGCTTGCAGCCTGAGGGGTGGCAAGGGGAGAGGCTGGGGCTGGCGCCTGGCCTGGAGTGGTGGCGGCCGCAGGCGCCGTCCCTGACCGCTGTCTCCCCTCCGCAGGTCTGGCTGTGCATCAGATCATCACCATCACCGTGTCCCTCATCATGGTCATCGCCGCTCTCATCACAACTCTTGTCTTAAAAAATTGGTAAGGCCCGGAGGTGGGGGCGGGGCTCCGGGGAGTGTGCACAGGGAGCCCGGCCTCGCACACCCAGGCCCCTCCGGAGCCCTGGGGCTCCTGTGTCCTGGCCCGGGCACTGGCAGCCGCGGAGACGGCTCCCAGACGGGCGTCCGGGCTGGTGGTGCTCCTGCTCCCGGGACTGTCCCCAGGTCCCCACGGGCTGCAGATGCTGCCCCCGAGCCAGTCCCCTCCTGTTCTCCCCGTGGGGCCAGGTCTTGCTGGCAGCAGCCCGAAAGGCCTCCTCGGCCTCCTTCCTGGCTCCCGCCGCCGCATCTCTGAACTAGGTCGCCATGTTGCTGTGGGCACTCACCACGGCCTGCCCCCTCCTGGAAGTGGCCTACTTTGCAGCCGGCCGTGCTGGGGCTGCACACCTGATACCCACAGACACCAGGGGACTTCCGGTGACCCTGCTGCCCGCAGCTACCCCAGATGCTCAGGGCCCAGCTCCCTATAGAGCAGCCCTCCCAGGGGTCCCTTGCTGCCCAGACACTGACATAGAACCAGACAGGTACACACCAGGAACTTCCAGAGAAAGCCATCACCATGGGGGACCCGATGGCAGGTGGCAGGAGGGTGGGGCAACCTGGGAAAACCCCTCCCCACTGGCAAGGCCTCCCAGCTGTCTCCTGACAGCCAGCAGACAGATGGGCACTACAGGTGTTCTCTGGGGGCTGGAGACAAGGACAACACAGCTGCTCACAGAGAGCTGCTCACACAGGGGTGAACTTGGGCCCCGGACCTGCTGACCACGTGGCAGACAGATCCACAGGCCGACCTGGGAGGGCCCTTGCTTCTCCAAAGAGCTGGAGACCTTGGTGCCAGGGCCTGGGCACCCTGCTGGTTGCCATGCTGGCCTCTTTGGTCTGCAGCCAGCCCCTCGGAGCCCAGGGTTGCAGCCAGGGTGGCGAGGGCACCCTGGAGAGGCACGAGGCAGGCTGGGCCCTTGGCTTCGGAGTTCACATCTCTCCTTTGCGGGCTGGACTTCGATGTGAGAACAGGGAGTCCTCTCCTGGGGACAGTGAGCCAGGGAGGCCTGCTGGAGATGCCACCCTGCCCTGGTGCTGCCCCATGGAGGAGATGGTGCCCTGGGCTCCCAAGGGCTCCCCAGCCACTGCCCCTCCTTCCTGTGAACCCAGCACTGGTGGCTTCTGGGGTCACTGAGGTCTGCAGTGCCGAATTCCTCCTCAGACATCATCTAGGGTGGCCTTTGGGAGCCCTGAGACCCAGACAAATGGGAAAATGAGGCAGTTACAGAGTCAGTGGGACAGCCCCCTCCAGGACCCTCGCTTCCAGGTCATGAAGGAGACCTGGGGCCACTGACAATGAAGCGGACACTCCCGCCAGACTGTCCCCCAGGGAGGAGCATCACACCCTGCCTGTCCCCATATCTCCCACTGAGCCAGGCCCCTCAGACCGCAAGCTGGGTCAGAGTTTTCATCTTGCTGGGACCCTGGGGGAAACTGAGTCATGCCGTGGTCTGGCAGAGAGGTTCTTCCTCCTAGTCGGCCCAGCAGCGTGCTCTGACCCTTTCCCCTCTCCCAGCTCTCTCTGCGGTCATGGCCACATTTAAAATTCAAATTTTGTATGTCGAAGAGAAAGGAGCTGATTGCTTGATTGTGCTTGATCTTTCTGAAGAGGCTGGGAATTACCACTGACATTAAGCACAGCCTCCCGACTGGCGGCGAGGCCTGGAGGCCAAGGTGCCTACCCGGCACCTGCCCGCCCCCACCCAGCCTCTCTCTCCCCAGCTGTGCCCAAAGCGGGAACCCCCGGAGGAGCAGCCACCAGCGGAAGGTCAACCAGCAGGAGGACAGCTGCCAGAACCTCACCGACTTCACCCCGGCCCGGGTGCCCAGCAGCCTGGACATCTTCACGGCCTACAACGAGACACTGCAGTGCTCACACGAGTGTGTGAGGGCGTCGGTGCCCGTGTACACGGACGAGACGCTGCACCCAGCCGGCGACTACAAGTCCACGTTCAACGGGAACCGGTGAGCTCCGGGGCGGGGACGAGGGGCTGCTCGGCCTGCTTGCTTACACTGGGCCCTGTCACCAACCGAGAGACACCAGGCAGACCGCAGCAGGCTCCCGGGCTCCCGGGACACTGCAGCTCCAGCCCCAGTTCCCTTGCAGCCCCGCCTATGGGCACAGGACAGAAATAAAACCTCCGGTCCCATGCGGGGCTGCAGCTGGCCACAGCCCTGGAGTGCGACGCCAGTCTTGTGGTTATCGACCTCCTGAACACCAGCAAATTACAAGTGGACCCTCCCAGTTGATGTCCCTGAGACTGTCAATGAAATGTCAGCCCTGAGTGCTGCAGAAATATCAAGTGCCAGGCGGACTCCAGCAGCAGACACTTCTTATTAAATGCTCTTTTTTATTATTCATGGGTGATCCCTTAAGGAAGACATATTCCTAGCCATCCCTGGGAATATTTAAGAAAGCCTTGAGTCAGCTCCTGAAGGTTCGTCCAGAATTAAATTAAAATATCAATAAGCTATTTTTTTTAAGGAAGCGTACACTCATGCATCATCTTATAGATTAAATAAAAAGTCCCCAACAACTTAAAGATCCTCGGAAGAAATGAGTCCATGACCGGGCGCCCGAGGCCCCAGTCAGCAGTGGGGTGAGCGGCTGGGGAGGCTGCCCGGGCCCCTGGCAGGGCTGCCTCAGGAAGTCACCTGCTGCTTGTGTGTCGGTTGCTGGCATTTTCAGGGACAGGGAGGCAGAGGCCTGGCCTCCACAGCCAGCAGCAGTGTCCACAGTTGTTCTGTCCTTGTCCTGCAGAAGCAGGAAGCAGATGTCCCCAAGCCTCTGAGCACGCGCGCACACCCCCGCGCACCCATGTCCCTTCCAAAGGGCTGAGTTCCCAGAGAAGGGAGAAAGCCTTTCAGGCCTTTTTATTGGAAGTTGGTGAGGTGGTTTGGATGCAAATCCTGGGCAGCTAACCAGTGCTTCAGCCCGAGGGAGGGATAGGGCTTAGGGTCAGGGGCGTGGCGGGGCCTGTGTGGCATGGAGCTCCTGCAGGTGCAGGGCCTGAGTCCCTGGCCATGGGACATGGCAGTTTGGTCTTCCAGGCGATAGGAGACAGGTCCCCTGCTTTCTGCCTGATGCACTAAAGGGCACCTGATCTGATCTCTGCCATCAGAGGCTCAGATCCTGGGCTCTGAGCTTGACCTGTGCGTTCCAGAGCTGAGATTCAAGGGTGGCACGGGACGGAGGGCGGCCAGCCTTCCGGCCTCCGTGCCAGAGTCCCCTGCGCCCAGCTCTCCGGCCTGCTCCTCCAGCCCTCCCGGGTTCCGTGTCAGAGCATGACCTCTGCCCAGTGGGCCCACATCGGGCTGGGCCTTCCCACTTCCCTCGAGGCCGTTGGCTACCCGGGCGCCTTGGGCCCACCTGTGCAAACCCCTTCTCTGCTCTCTCTCTCCAGCTCCTCCTCTGCCGACCGGCATCTCATCCCTGTGGCCTTCGTGTCTGAGAAGTGGTTTGAAATCTCCTGCTGACTGGCCGAAGGCTTTTACCTCCTGGGGCAGGGCAGACGCCAGGCGTCTGTCTCATGGTATGTACCTCTCTGCAGACGCAGGCTGTCTCCCTCTTCCCTCCTGACTGGGTGGCGGGTTCCAGCAGCAGGCCTTGCTGAACGGAAACCAGGGAGCTGGACCCCAGGCTGCATTTGTTAGAAACGTGCCCATGTCCTTGTGGAGGCGTGGCAGACACTCGCTGTCCCCAGGAGAATCACGGCTGTGCCCGTCATCCCTGATGAGGGCCATCGTGAGCAGGGCCTTTCTGGGCAGGGAAAGGCCTTTCTGGAAACCGGCTCTAGTTATAGCTCTTCTCCTCCACGGGAGGAGGCGGGGCCAGCCGAAAGCAGGCAGGGTCGCACCTCCGTCGGGCAGCTTTGCACGGGGAGGGTGCGAGGCAGAACGAAAATACAATTTTGAAATACAAAAATAAGAGATAAGAAGGAACATGATAAAGGGAGAATGTGAGGAGTTGGGACATCTGCTAATTTGAAGCCAGGGACTGGTACCAAAAGAGGATGAATTTTCCACGCTCTGCTGGACAGGAATATTCGGTTTGCTTTCGGTGATATGAGCGTGGATGATCAGGGCTGTGCGCGCCGGCTGCCGCGGTCACGAGGGTGCGGCCCTGCGCTCCCAGAACAGGCCCTGCAAGTGCAGCCCTGGGCTTTCTGCTCGATTTGTTTTTCTTTGCCACACTGTGGGCCAGGCAGTACCTCCTCTCCCGCTGTGCCTCGCGTTCTGCTCCTCGAGTCCCCCAGAGTGAGTGAGCCTCGCCTGGTCCTCTCCCTTCCGTGGCGAAGAGGCCCTGAATCTTGAGTGGGATGTCAAGTCTGAGCATGCTGAGTGGAAGCCCGGGAGCCCGTGTAGCTGGCATGTTCTGCAGGGCAGGGAGGCGTCCAGCCCTCCGTGTGCAGCCGTTAGCCAGGCCCCACAGCGGCTGCAGCTGGAGTGGGAGTGAATCTGCACTGGCCAGCCCACGGTCCCAGCGCTAATGAATTGCATGCTCGCACCAAATCCAATCCCCGGCCCTTCAGCCCTGTCCCTAAGCCAAAAGTCCGGCCAGCAGGTGAAGAAGCCCAGTTGGAATAGACTGGAAAGAAGACGTCCTGCAGAAGTCATGGTGGAGCCCCTGGGGGAGAGGGAGCACAGAGGGCCCAGCCTCTCCTCGGCAGAGGCCTTGCCCTGCGTGTCCCAAGCGGGCCCTGTCTGCCCAACATGCAGCGGCAGCTTGCACAGCTGTAGAGCGCCCCCTGTGGCACCACAGCTGCATGGCAGCAGGACACTTGCTTTCTGGTAAAGCCTGGATCCTCCCAGGGCCACGTGGCTGCCAGCATCTCTGTCTCCACCTGAAACGTGTACTTGCGCAGAGTTCACTGACCTAGGACACGCCAGTCCTGCACAGCGGCCTCCACTATGGCCTCGTGGACGAAAGGCCACCCCCTGCGGGCCCATGGGACCCTTCTTGGGGCACAGCACTGATGTGCATGTCCCAATAGCAGCTCATCAACAGACCACTCTAGGTGTAAGAGCTCACCTGTGTGCCCACAGTCCCATTCACCAGGGAAACTGAGGCTGGGGAAAGGTAGAGACTTGGTTGGCATCAGCAGGTTGTCAGCTCCAGGCTGCCTGGCCCCTGCGCTCCTATTTGCAACTGCCTCACTGCAGGTCCCGGCCAGGCTGGAGGAGAGCGGGGGTGGAGTCTGAGGCCAGGATCTTCAGCTAAACCCACAGCCCAGAAGCAGCTGGCGCACCCGGGAGGACTGAGGAGCAGCTCCAGAGCACCCCCAGCCTGGCCCAGGGCTGTCCCTGAGCCCTGAGCGCAGCCATGGCCCTGGCTGTGTAAACATCATTGCTGCGGAAAGCCCTCCTGCCTTGTCTCCGCTTCTCTGCTCCTAGCACACAGACACCAAGACCCAGCAGCCCTGCCAGCCCACGATCCCAGGAGGGAGTGCGAGATGTGGGTATCCCACGGGGATGTCTCTGGCCCTACAGCTGGAGCCCCGCCCCACGGCCCCCTGAGGGGTGGGGAGCAGAGCCCAAGAGGACCAAGAGCCTTCAGGTGGAGCTTCCTTTGGCGGGCTGAGCCTCTGCATCTACTGACAGAAAGACACAGGCACTGCCGTGGCTCCCATGGCCAGGGGCCAGGAGGCTGTGCAGGCAGCCTCACTAGGGAGTTCTGATAAATGCTTCTGGGTCCCTTTGCTGCTAGTGGGACAGACTGTCTGTCACTCACTGGGACAAAAGTGTGCAGGTTCTCAGGACCCCCGACTCTGCTAATTAATGCCCAGCCATGGACTTTGGGCAGAGAATAACCAGAGATCTCGCTTAGACTTACTAGGGTGCTTATTGTCCCTTAAATAAATAGCAATTAATACTAAAACATTTAATTAAGGTTTAAGAGCCAGTGGAGAGATCCAGCTCTTGAATAGCTGTCCACACTCTCCAAATGCATTGTAATGATGATGGGGCAGGCGTGATTCCAGGGTTCCTCATCTTCTCATGCCAACTGTGGGCACACGTGGGCCCGGTGGTGGCCCCTGACCAGGCTCGGGTGGATGTGCCCCCTGCAGCCCTGGAGCTGCACCTGCACAGACTGCAGCCTGCTCCTGTGTCAACCCACCTCATCGGGGAGCGGGTGGGGGGGGCAGACGGCTCTGAACACAGACAGAACGAAGCTGCCCTCCTGCATGCAAGGGAGGGACCCCTGACCCACACCCGGCAGAGCCTTGTGGGCTCCTCTTATCGTTTCTTGTGGAACAAGCGCGCTTCAGAGAGCCTCATAGGGGTGGCTTCCGCACTTCCTCTTTGCCTTGGAAACCACAAAGCCCCTTGAGCCAGAGTGAGACAGAAATCACCGTGTTATTGTTTGCAAAAAACACACCGAAGACCTAACTAATAAAAAATAAAACCAGGGAATCTCCATGTGAGTCTTCCCACTTTGTTCTTAAAAATCATACATTACTAGAATATCAAGCTTCTGTAATTCAAAGGAACACGTTTTTCAAAGCAACCTCCAGGCCCTCCAGGAGCAGAGCCCCCTGAGGCTAGGCACCAAGACGACTGGGGCGCTGCGTCCCTTTCAGGTCCCAGAGAATCGCTGCAGTGTGTTCTCTCCACAGAGCAGGCTCTGAGCCCTGTCCCAGGGAGCCCAGGGGCTGTCCGGCTTCCTCCCTCCAGGCCGCAGAGGGCAGACCATGTCCCAGACCCGTCTCCTAGATGGCTCTGCAGTGGGCACGCAGCTTCCCTGCCTCGGCTGGCTGAGGCGTCTCTAGTCTGTGGTCCCCGCCGCCCCTGCCTCTGCCGCCTCGTCTGGGCTCCTACTCTCTGGCTGCACAGCCCTTGCCCAGAGCCTCTGGCACAGCGATCCAAGCCCTTCCTGGAGTCAGAGGGGCTGGAACAGTAGAGCAAGCTGCACCTCAGCGCCTCCTCCAGGCCTGATGTTGAGCCGTTGCCCAGCACTTGTAGGACAGCCCGCCCCCAGCTTCAAAGTGGCCACTGCAGATGCGAGGTCGGGTCTCCCTCCCTTCCTCCCTGCCCACCTCCCTCCCTCTCCTGCAGACCTGGAAAATGCTGCTTGTCCCACATGGCCAAGCCATGATCTCAAGAACCCGAACCCTTCCCCAGCGACCCCTCTGTAGGCACCTCTAAGGGGCCAAGAAGAGGGGTCAAGTCCCGGAGGGTTCCTCTCACTCAGGGACGCAGAACAAAGCCCCTGTGGGGGGCACAGTCTCTTCTCAGCTTCCTCCAGGCTGGACTCCCAGGAGTCAAGAGTGGCCTGGTGTTGGCCCTTGTCCTCAGGGAGTTCTCACACACGCACACACACACGCACACACACACACATCTAAAGGCGACAGCAGATGTTCATATACCTGAGAAGTAACAGGACAGGACAGTGGGACAGTAGTGGGCAGAAATAAAGAGAGCCCGTATCCGGGAAGGGCAGCAGGCCCGAGGACCTCTGCCACTGAATGCTGGGACCCCAGCGCTAAGATCTGCATGTCTGGACCAGGATGCATCATGGTGCTCAGAGAGGAAGAGGAGAAGGAGGAAGGACAGCAGGACCTCAGCACATCTGCCTCCGCATCCCGCTCACCACCCACAATCAAGCTCTGTCCATTGAACCGCAGCGTCACTGTCCATCTCTGTGATTGGGACCACTCCGGGTCCCTGCTGTGGGTGCCATTGTGCAGCCTGTCTCCACAGTTTTTAGCTTGAAGACATTGGAGTGAGGGCGGGTACTCCAGAGGGGCGCTTCTCTTGGGGTGGCGTCACCTTGTTCCTGAAACCTTTCCTTCCCCCAAAGTTGGGAAGTGTGGAGGAGCTGGGCAGGATGAGGTCGCTGGGCTGAGGCTACTTGGAGGGCTCCATGCCTCTGTGACAGGAAATCCTATCGCTTTATTCAAGGAGGCCCCGGAGCCCAGCAGGCTGGGGTTCTCACAGTGGCTGCAGCCTGGGCCACACATGCTGAGTCAGGTGTCACGCGTAGTGGTGGGCAGGCTGAGGTGACCCTCAGAGGTCTGGTTTCTGTGGTCCCAGTTTGGGTCTCTGGGAAGGACCCCCACTGGATAACTTTGGGGTGGGGGCTCAGAAACAGCAAGGAGCTGGGGCTCAGCGGAGTGGCTACTCTGGGGCCTGCAGCCACGCCTCTCAAGACCAGTGCGCATCCTGCGTCCTGCAGCCGTGTCCCACCTCGTGGCCTGCACCCCTCTCTGTCTCCCTAGATGCTGGGTGGAAGAAGACTGTGCCCCATCTGGTGGGGACAGCTAGGTGACAGTCCCTGCCTGCCTGTCCTTGTACCTCGTGCAGAGCTCATAGGAACCTATGTCCACAGGCCTGGCCAGGAGGAAGGTTCTGGGCCTCCCTGGTTGCCAGGAGTCTGTTTCTGAGAAGACTCAAGGAGGACGGGGTGGAGCTGTCTGCCTGCCAAGCTCCAGCTGAGGGCTTCTCCCGCCTTCTCTCAGGCGGGGCCCCTTGGCACCCGCACCCCACTCAGGCCTGTACCCTCCGCATAGACGAAGGTGTGGAGGAATTCCTTCCTGCCTGCAGCTATAGAGGTGTAGTGGTAGCTCTGAGCACTTCCCCGTCCCCCTACCCTAGATGCCTCTCTGAGCAAACATGCCCACCTGCAGACGAGGGTGGGTCCCAGGCCCTGTCCACACCCAAAAGCGCTGGCACTGGCCAGGGCCTGGGCCAAGCTGACCTGCTCGGTCCCTCACAGCCCTCACTTCCTAAAGCACCCGCAGGCTGGGCTGGTGCCCTGCCCTGGGCCTGCTGCAGGTAGCTCCTCTGGCCTGCGTATGCACAGGTAGCAGGTGTCACCCGCCTCCTCTCTGCAGCGAGGTCCCCTTCCAGGGAGATACAGGGTGGATCTTGTGACACAGCCCGTGAGTATTTCTGTGTCCTGGTTGAGCCATGGGGTGGAAGGGAAGCTTTCCTTGCTCAGCTCAGGGTCGGAGCACGTGCGGCTGCTTCCTGTCATAGGAAATTCAGGGCACCGTAGATCACAGCGATGAACATGGAGGTCAGCCACCACTTACAGCCCCGGGATTTGCAGTCCTCGCGAGACAGCCTCCCTTTCCTAGGCCACTCGGACACCAGCTGGGAGAGCAGGAGGGGACCTGGGGCTGCATGTGGCAGGACCCCTACAGCCTCCCCGTGCCTGGTCCTGCTGCCTGCATTTAATCTTTTCTTGTTTTCTTTCCACGCAGGATTCCGTTGGTGAACCTGTAAAAACAAAACAAAAACACAAAACCCAAAACTAAACTGTCTAAAGGGGAGGGTCCCCGCACCTGCCACTTCTGTCTGCCAGTGGGAAACACATAGCAGCCGCTCTAGGCCAAATATATTTTTGTAAAGATGCTCCCGCCTAGGGGTGACTGCCTTCCCCGGAGCTTTCTTTGGAGAACAGAACAAAGACACTCGAGAAGGGGACTGGAGACCGAGAGACCAGGTGGCCACGGGAATGGGACGGAGGCGGCATCAACGCCTGGGATCTGGACCACGATCCCGAACCTGTGCCAACAATGCCATTATGTGCCATGAACTGCCCCTAGAGGCCCGGCCCCGAGCCGCAGCCGAGCGCGGCGGGCGCGGGAACCTTACGGAAAACAGGGCTGGGGTCTCTTCCGATAGAGTCACTATTTCTGGTTATTATATATAAATATATAAATATATAAATACCAACAGACACACACACACACTTTTTTTGTACTGTAGCAATTTTTGAAGATCTTCCATGTTCCTTTTTAAAAAAAAAGTTGTGTTATAGGTTACAAAATCTGATTTATTTAACTTGCTTAGTATGAACAGAATTAAACTGATGTTTTCTACTCCGGCAACTCACCACGTACATGCGCACACACACACACGCACACACACACACACACACACGCACACACACACAGAGCCATACACGCAAACACTCACGCATATATATGCATATATTGGAAATACAGATCCACAGGTGAGCATATTCTCTATTCTTCCTGGTGACCTGAGACTTCATCACTGTTCACCCCGGGGACAGCCTCGACCCTTCAGTGACACCCTGCATTTGTTGGTATTTGCTGAGTGACAACAAATGTGTGATGTGTTATCTTGGGCCAGCACGAAGAACGCCGTGGTTTCCTATATATATGTATACACACACTTGCATAAATGTTACCTTTCTCCATTTAACTCTTTGAAGATGCTACCTAGCAGCCGTGCGCCGCCGTAGCTGGCTGCTGCCGAGCGGGCCCCGCTGAGCACCAGGCGGGGGTGGCGGTGGATTCGCAGAGGTTTGTGTTATACAAGCATAGACTGAATTAAAGAGATTTTCCAGTTCCGAGAAGCAAAGGAATCCCATCCTTCCCACGTGCGCGTGAACGCCGGGGCAGCACTCGGAACGCACGAGGGCTCGTTTCGCTTGGCGGTGAGACGTGGTGATCGTGTGTGCGACAGCCCAGGCTGCTCTGAGTCCTGGCCTGGACAGCCTGCACTCGCTGGGGAGCTGGGGTGGCTGTGAACGTTGGTGGGGCTGTCAGGGGATGCCGCTCCCTTGTGGGTGCCCAAGGCCCTCTGTGGCCTGGTAGATCCGCCAGAGAACTTCCTGGAGCAAGTATCCGCAGCTAGAGCCTGGTGCCGGCAGGTGCTCCCCACCCCACTGCAGCCCACGCTGCCCTGCCTGTCAGTCAGGCCTGTAGGGAGAGACCTGCTGCCAGTGGGGGCGCTGCCGGGGGACCAGGCCTCCGTCTTGCAGAGGAGAGGTGGAAGCCCAGATGCGGCGTGTGGGGCCCATCTCTAGAGTGTGCTTCGCCTGAGTAGCCCTGGCATGGCTTGGATTTATCCTTGCAGAAAATCTCGGGCCCAGTGATGAAGGTGATGGGCAGGCAGGCAACTGCACTCCTGCCGGACCAGTCAGGCCACCAAGGTTCTACTGCACCTGGGGACTCAGTTTCCCTCACTCTTCAAAATGGGCTTGAAACACTCACTTTCACGCCTCCTGAAACCTGTGAGCGTGAAAGCGTGGAGGAAGGATGCCATGTGCCCCATGCTGTCTGATCAGTTCTCGGGTGGAGCTCAAGCACTGGGAAGCTCGGTTCTGTGCTGCTGCGTCCTCACCCACCCGAAGCATGGGCACCAGCAGCACCCGCGCTGTCCCTACCCTCAGACCCTCTCCGGGCTCTTGATTCCCTGCGTGCCCTCCAGCCACTGTCCCTTTGTCCTCCAAGCCTGCTCAGCTCAGTGCTGGTGTTGGCTGAGGCCCTGGTGGATGCAGAGCCGCTCCCACCAGGGTGTGCCCTGTCCTCACCGGGGTGTGCCCTGTCCCTTCTGATGCAGACCCCGACTTTGCTTGAGGTGCCCTGGAGGTGCCATAGAGCCCCCAAGACCCTGAGCTTCAGAGGCACGCTTAGAAAGGCAAAGCCCCTCAGCCACATGGCAGCCACACCAGCAGGGGTCAGGGTGGGGGGGTGCCCAGAGGGGCACAACCCGGATCCAGACCAGCGAGGGCTGCTCACCCCAGTCTGGTGCCGCTGTGCTCACCCGGTGGCAGCCAGAGGGGCTGTGGAGGCTTTATTTTCTTCTCTGTGGCCGCCTCTCCCCACTGCCCGCTGCTGTGGAGGAGATGGCACAGGCAGGGCATCTGGCCGCTGAGGGTCCGGGGAGTCCGGTGTGTGCCCACCATTACCCACGTCCTGTGGCCTTGGGCAAAGTGCTGAGTGCTGACTGCTCTCTCTTGTCACCTTGACCTCTGACCTCCAGAGTCCACTTTCGGGCACCCCCTCCCCGAGGCCCTCCTTCCATAGCCTTCAGTTTCCTTTTCTTCATGACAAGTAGTCCGGGGGAAGGGGGAGGGTGGTGCACTTTGGTGAGGTCCCTGAACGTGTGTCCGTTTCTGCTCATCCCTTTGGTGTCCCCAGCATGGCCCAAGACTGAGCAGGCTCCATTGCTTTCCTGAGGACCCTTCAGAGCTTTGAGACGCCAGGTGGGCTCTCAGAGCATCAGGACTGCCTTGGTGCCCGCTCAAGTCCATTTCTCGGTCCAATCATGTGTCACGCCCGACTGCACTCTCACATAGCTGAGAGAACGGCTGTTGTCTCCGAGTTCTGAGTGTGAAAGGAAAGAGTCTCCTGACACGGGAAGGGGGGCTTCCTGACCCTTGCGTGCTGGGCTCAGGCTCATCCACGCCCACTTAGAACCAAGCCACGTGACACCCCCTCTCTGCTCAGCCCCACTTCCCACAGTGTGTGTGGTTGAGCAGTACTCCGTTTCCACGTCCTCCCTGCACAGACAGGGCCGCTGGCTTCTCCGGTGGACCTGGCCCTCCCAGTGCGGAGTCTGAGCAGACCTCCCGCTGTGGCCATCACCCCCACACCCCTCTAGCCTTCTCTTCACACTTAGAAGCCCAGGACTCCAGGAGCCACCCTGACCCTCTGACTGTGACCACCAGGAGATCAGTGAGGCCCGCTGTGATCCTGTCATCTGAACCCATCTTCCTTCTCTAAAATGCGCCATTCTTCACAGCCGTGTGTGGCCCTCGGCAGTCCCTTCACCCCCAGGCTGCCTTCTGTGGGCCATTTCCGTGCTAATGTCCAGGCCGCCATTCTGGTCTTAAAAGAAGACACGGCCTTGGGCCGGCTGTGCCTGGACTCTGGCCGGTGGAGATGGAGTCCACCTGTTTCCTTCTTCTCCCGGATGGGCCAGGGTCTTCTGAAGCCCATGAGGCTGGGCTGACCTTGAGATCTTGGAAGGTCAGACAGAAATCGGCCTGAGGCTGGGACGCGCAGCCCATTTGCGGCCAGGCAGGATTGTCCCAGCCCTTCATTTCAAAATGGAGCCAGAACATCTCTTGGCTATCATGACCCCCTTCATCAGGGAGGACTCAGGGTAGAAGAGTCCCACGATGCCTCAGCGATCTGTGCCCTCCTCCACTGACGCCGCTCAAGTCACGCTGGGTGAAGACAACAGAGACTGAAGCCATTCTAGCTTCCACTTGTGGGGTCCCTGCAAAGGCAGCATGCACATGGGGAGGCGACGGAGAGGCTCTTCCTGCTGCGCTGTGCACACTTAAGGAGTACTTGAATGTCCACCATGTTGGCCAAATGGCTAGAAGCAAAGGGGTCCTGGTCCTGCCCTTGGGGCTTGTGAGGTTAAAAACACAGGTATGCTTCAGGTAGTTGGCAGAGAAGAGAACACTAAGAAGCTGAAGGACAGGGGATGGGTGGGATGACAGGTAGGCAGAGGTGACACTGCCTGTGACTTCTCCTGCTGTCCCCACCTTCTGTTTACTGAGGGGTGGCCTGGGCTTGGAGGGACAGAGCGAGACAGCTGTAGTCTTCCCTCTCTCGTGGGCAGGAGCGGATGTCTGACTGCCACCGATGTCTCTGCCGGGGCTCCTCTAGATGCTTGGTCCAGGTCAGCCAGGTCTCCAGGAGGACAGGGCCGTCCCTCCTGGGCCCGAGGCAGTGTTTCGCAGCCCCCCGCCCCCGATGCATAACTTTGTCCCCTTAAACAACATCTGCTTTTAAGAAAGCAGCTAATGCGAAGCGGGCGGTGATTCATGCAATCTGGGAATGGCTGCTGTGGTGTCGTTTGTCAATTTGCTCCGCCATACTCTTTTTTGATTGTTTGTTTGTTTCCCAGTGTAAACAGCACAGCCCACTAAATGAGCCACATTCTCGTCATCCCCAGCCTCTGATTATTCTCCCCACTCACTTTGTCTTGATGTTGCGGAGAAGAGGAACTCAGAGCCAGGATTTGTGTGTGTGCTACGCTCATGTTACCTGTGGTATTTCCGGGGAGGTCTGAAATGACTGTTTGGCATTTTGAAACATGCCAGCAGCCCTTCTTTCTAAAGGGTGTGAAGCCCGGTCGTGTGCAGTTCTGCACAATTTCTGGGCTTAGAGCTTGCTTGCACTTGGCAGGTGCGGCTAGAGAAGGGCTTAGACAGGGACCGGCCATCTCTGCAATCATCCCAACCCTCCAATACCCAAAAGAAGGGATTTCTTCTGCCCTCAGTTCATTCTAGAAGGAGCTCAGCTGGCAAGTGTGCCCAGCTAATAAGTGGACAGTAACCGAGCTGCAGAATTAGTGCCGGTCGCTGTGTGGGGCCAGGCTGGGCCAAGCAAGGGGCTTCACTGGCACAGCTACACCCCCTCACTTGCACTGTGTAGGGTGGCTTCACCTTCCTCACCGGAAACAGGGAGCAAGCCCCCCCGAAGTGCCAGCCTCTTCTGGAAGCACTCAGGTCCTTACCCAACCCTGCTCTGTTCCTCTCAGCTGACTAAGCCAGAAGCCGGAGGGGAGTGGTGCTTGCCCAGGGCTACTGAGGTGGCGGCGCCTGGACAGCAGGGGCCTGGGAGCTTCTCCCTGAGGGATCACCGAACACTCCACACCCGTAAATGTATAGCCATGCACAGCTGTAAAGACAATGAAGAGAAGGACCAACTGGGCTTTGACAAGTAGTCACCTAGGGGCCTAGGAGTGTACAGGGAATCATTCCAGCGGCTCTGTGCCCTTTCTTCTGGGTGGAGTCCCCCTAAACAGCCTGGACTTACTACGTGTCGAAACGGTCCTCTTGAATCCATGAATCTAAGTCATGACAGCAGTCTAGACTTAGGAGGTGTGGTATGAACTAGGGCCAACCTTACCCACGTGGGACTCCCAGGATGGAGTTTAACCACTGGTGAGAAGCGGGAGGGCCGGGGCCTACGCAAGGCTGCCTTTTCTCATCTAAGTCGAAATCACAGCATGCATATACCATAGGTAACATTCGATTAAATGGTTTAATGCGCTGCACCCTGAGAGTTGTTGGGACAAAGAGCCAAATAGCTCTTGTAGGAATCTTGAATTTCACAGCCCCACATCTGTAGGGTAATGTGTAGCATTGGATTATGGGAAATTCTTTATTAAAGTTAATTAGTTTTGTCCCAGGTGGTCTTTCTTTTAAAACAGAATTCTCTGGAGATTTGAGTATTCCACGTGGAATACTAGCTATCAGCAGCCGTGCACAACAGCTCCTTGGAAGCTTCCCTCTGGCACGGACCTGGCCCAGCTGGCTCCTGGTGACCCTTCTTCGGATCCCTGAGATTGTGAAGTAGCATCCTTTGGTGGCAATGTATGTGCTTTGGGTCGCCTAGTGTCAGTGAATCCTGAATTGGCGAAGTTCCTGCTCCCAGGAAGTCAAGCAGCTTTGGCCATGAAGGAGCAACAGCACTGTGTAGCCCTTAGTTCTGTCTTGTCACTGCAATGTCCCATGAGGAGGTGCAGCTACTAACAACTGGACAAGTGGCACTTCGAGGACCCCAGCATGATCAGTTCAGAAGGCTGCACAGG